AAAAAAAAAAAAAATCTCTCCAAAAAAAAAGAAAAGGGAAAGTGAGAAAGCAAATCGCCAGGTCCAGGACTTGATACATGGTCTGCCATGTGAGAGTTCAACACCTTATCACCATACCACTTGTCAGCCCCGAAGAACCTATTTTTAATATATTATTGTTATAATATGTTCAAATTGCCTATAGGCCTCTCAAATAAGTATGTTATGGTTAATATACATGAAATTTGTGACATCTTCAATTTACTCTTAAATGTAGATTACATTTGATTTTTATATTATCATTTTATTTATTTTGTGCATGACTGAGAGAGAGATAATGAGAGAGACAGCACTCCCAGCAGGTGTCGAGGCTGCCATCCTCTCCCCCAGCCTCACTTCCACACCTGGCTACCCAGAGATGTATCTAAATGCAAACCTGGAACCCTCCCGGGCAAGCCAGCCTTAGGAATGCAGTATTTTATCACTCTGCCTCCCTCAGGGCTATCATATTCTTAAATTGAGAAAATAAGCTCAAATTCTGTTAAACAGAAAATGTCATTTCCTTTTTTCATTAAAATAGGTAATTATTTAGCTCAAGTATTTTCACAAGTACTCTTTTTTTCCTCTATACAGAGTATCTATCTTTAAGAAATACTTTTCAGGCAAATGATAAAAAATAAGTTCATTATTTGCGATTATTTTCAAGGTTTTGCCAAATTTAGATTCTGCAAGTTGGAAATCTTTTAAAATTTTTTCTCTAAAAATGTGAATTTATGTAAATTCTCATGGAAACCCAACTGAAAAATTTTTCATGTGGGTTTAAAATATCCCAAAGCATAGTTGTAAAATTTCAATATTAAGTATTTTACATTATTTAGATTCAATTAAATGTGTTCATCTTACTCCTTGATTCTGTAAGGATAAATTTTAATATATTCCTATGTCATAGGCTTTGTTTTCAGTGACTACAATCCACAAAATCTCGAAAACCTGAACTTTATTGGCACAACAGTTGAATTCTTTGACTAAAAATGTCCAAATGATGTTTATGCAATGTAACAAAATTTTATAAATCTGTATTATAAAGTCCAATACTTTTGTAGACCATTTAAGTATATTTACAAAGCAGTATTTTTAAAGGATCAAATATTTGTGAAATTCTGTTTAGAAGAAACAAAAAAATACAAAACACGTGTTATATTATTTTTTTAGTCTTATTTTTTTTCCAGTCCTCAATTCTAGTTTGATCAAGAAACCTTTTATAGTTTGATTCATCTAATTGTGACAGAAATGTTGATTGTGAATTTTTCAAATTACATCTAATATCTCAGTTGTAGATTGAATACATTCATGAAATGTGTGCACACTACTTCCAATGCCAAGGATATAGTAATCCCATATTTTTCTCAAATTAATATGAATATTTTATTTTTTATTATGACCTTGTGCTCTGCCCAGTTTTAATTCATATGATATCGTAAATAATTTATTTTAAGTAGTCTTTTAACTGAATATAAAATAACATTCATAATAATAGCATATGGGGACCAGCAGTTAGCGAAATGGCTATGTCGCTGCACTCCCATGTAGTCAATGCAGTTTGAATCCCGGACCCGGTGGCTTAAACTCACGCCGGGTGCGTGTGCGTGCATGCTCAAGATCCCGAGAGGAGAATGGAGGAGAAGGGATTGCGGCGTGGCCATCCCCCATTGGGGGTGATTTTTCGCTTTCTGTCTCTCTCTGTCTTTCTGGCGAGCACACGCGCCCTATAGCAAAAAAAAAAAAAAAAAAAAAAAAAAAAGCAGATATTTTACTTTTGAAGAGTAAATTTTCCAAAGTTTTAATTTGATTTCATGAATTAAATGGGAAAATAAGTATACAGACATTGGCAATTACTTGATTGATTTACTATTTATAGTACCTGATAACAATGATACAAAACTGGTCCAACATGTCTCAACAGACATTCACTAGAAAACATGAGATTAAAACAGAAAAATTGGGGCTAGCAGGTGGCATGGCGATTAAGGCACCAAACTCCCACATAGTGGACCACAGTTCAAGCCCTGGACCTCGCGGCTTGAAAATCATGCTGGGCATGTGTGCATGCGTGTCCAAAATGCTGAGGGGAGAATGGAGGAGCAGGGATTGCAGCATGGCCACCCCCCGCTAGGAATGATTTCTCACTTTCTCTCTCTCTGTATCTCTTCATCTCTCTCCAGTGAGCACACACACACACACACACACACCCCTATGGCAAAAAAGTTAAAAAAAAAAAGAAAAACTAAGAAAAATTTAATTAGGTGAGTGGTATAAAGGAAAACTTGGGTTTCATAGGGCTATGTGTAAACTCACCTTCTGCTGCCATATGTTAATTTCTTTTCTTTTGGTGTATATATATACATACATATATACACACACAGATATATTTTAAATAGCTACTAACTTTTTTGGGGGGGTAGGGGATTTTTGCTATAGGGCACGTGCGCTCACCAGAAATACAGAGAGACAGAAAGCGAGAAATCACCCCCCAGAGGGGATGGTCATGCCGCAATCCCTTCTCCTCCATTCTCCTCTCGGGATCTTGGTCACACACGCACATGCACCCGGCATGAGATTAAGCCACCAGGTCCAGGACTTGAACTGCAGTCGACTACATGGGAGTCCAGCACATAGCCATTACACCAGCTGCTCGTCCCAATAGATACTAACTTTCAAAGCCAATATTAATGATTCCCTTACAGATTTCTGTTTTCTGGATTTCATGGTGACATCACAATATCTTCATAGTAGGTTATAACTATTGACACAAATCTTATATACTGTACACATTATTTATCATAGTTCTTAAAAAGAGAAATTTGTAAAACCTCATTAATAATATATGCTTTCCTTTGTTTCAACTCATTGCTTCTGAAAAGGTTTAAGGGAAAGTTAAAAGAATTTTTCCTAAATAGTAATACACAGTAAATGATAACACAACTGTTAACTGTCACAGATGCATTCAGACTGTTGTTTGGGCTAGAGAACAGCATGCGTCCACCTCAATTGTCCAGGCAGAGTTGGTGTGCCCTAGTCCTGTCAAGATGCCCCTTCTTTTGGCATCCTGCGTGTACCTCATACAAAGACGTTGGTTCCCTTGGGTCTGGAAAGGTTAGGAAAACAGAAACAAGTGATTACTGGCTGGCCATCAGGTTTGATCATGTGTTCAATCAGAATTTGGGGGACCGGCATATGGCGTAGTAGTAGTTCTGTCGCTGAACTCCCACAAGGCAGACCACGGTTCGCGTA